GACTAGCCGAAGAGAGACAACCAGGATGGTCTTTCCAGATTGCTCTAAAGATGTGTGTGTGCATGTGTAGTACAGTTTCTTGTGAATACTAGTAAGAGTAAATGCAGCCATAAGTTTGGGAGTAAAATTGTGGGATTTTATTTTTTTAGAAAGCATTAAAAATGTTAAGTCCAAGCCACTACTTCATCAATAAATCTAGACAGAAATTTGATATCATTTTCATTTAAAATACATTTAAGTGATGAACTTTAGGGAGGAAGTGAACAATATTTGAGCCATTAGTTTTGATCCTTATAAATTCTTTTCTAGTCTAAACGTGTCAGTGTTCCTGTGTACACATGAGTGTAGCTGCCTGTGTTTGTACAGCTGCTCCAAGTAGACAATTTCATGTGCAGATCACTGTACACACCTGACTTTGCCATTCCTATCCTGTTTTGCTCATGTCTACCCAAATTGACAAATATCCTGGCAAAGGCCCACGTTTCTGAGGTGGCCCGCAATGGCTGTTAGGCCTGGCAGAACTGCCTTTTATGTCTAAATCAGTGTTGCCCCATTACCATTATTTCTTGAGCAATACAAAATTGTTCTACTTAGCAACTCTCTTGAGTAGAAACCACATCTCACAGGTTTATTAAGCACACAGTGCTAGAAATTGGGGAAATTGTTTTACATGAGCCTAGAGGTCCATTTTTGGGTCCTGAGTATTTCCAGCTTTTAAACCTCAAACAAAATATGCTTTTAAATACAGTTTTGTTTTTTAAATACCAATCCACTCAGCTCTATTAAAAGCAATTTTCTATTGAGGCCTTCCCTATAAGTATACAAAAGTGCTCATTAGTTGAAAAATGACCATTTGGTGCCATCTATGGTAATAAAAAAAAAACGTAATGCCTTTTTCATCAAGTTTGCATCTTAAAAGCATAATGTGAAAGAACTTGTTATGTGAGTCTTAGAAAATATTATCTTTGGAGCAATATATAGCATGCCCCAACCAAATAGGTGATTATAGAAAATGTATGCTTGATAAGAAAGATATGACAGACTTTAAATTTAAGCATTATTAGATCAATTGTGGGGAGTTATAAATGAGTATGTTTTCATGTTCCTTTCAAGTACCTTTCTACTTGGAACAAGTTTGGTGGCCCGTGAATTAGCTTAGAGATGTTACAAGTTAGAGAAACTATTTTAATACTTCCCTAACTCATCCATATGGGGCTACTGATTTAGCTTTGGGGTTGACAAACTATGGCCTGCAGGCCAATTCTGTCTGCTGCCGAATTTATAAATAAAGTTTTATTGGAACACAGGTATGTGCATTCGTTTACATATTGTTTATCACTATTTTCATGCTACAGTAGTTGAGGTGAGTAGTTGCTACAAAGACCATATAGCCCACTAAACCTAAACTAATTTACTTTCTGGCTTTTTCAGAATAGATTGCCTACTTATATATTTGAAAAGAGGAAAATAGGGCTGTGCATTGCATTCAGTGGACCAGAAAGGAAGTGGCATCATTTTTCTCTCCCTTCCAATTTCCCAACAGGAAGTTCTCTCTAGGATGGATGCACTTGACACCAGATTTGGTATCAGTGACTCCTCTGAGTCTCCACCAGTGCTCTTGTATAGAGGAAGTCTCAGAGTCCCAGTCTGTTCTCAGAACATCATCAATAGGGAGGACATGCCAGCTGTTATTAGTCCCACCTCATCACCAAGTCTCCTTGTTCCTATAATGGGTGGAGTGTTGTTCTGATCTGTTGTTCTGATCTGTTATTGTTCCATCTGAGTTGGGCTCCTCATCACACACACACATAGCACTCACCTAAGCTTTTATCTTAGGTTTTGCTCCTCTCTGGTCTACCTAACCTCTCCTGGATGTACAGGAGAAGTGGGGACTTTCTTCTCATTGGTTGTTTCCTCCTAACACAAACACAGAACCAGGTTTAATTTGAGTAGGCTAAATTATATTTTCTTGCTTAGTAAAGACAAAGTTTAGTAATAGGATAAACCAAAATATCCTATCAGCCCAGTCTTAATGAACATTTTCCGAGAACAACATTCTAAACCAAAACATATTTGCCTAGTATTTATCATATTTCTAAGGTAAAGGTATTTCTTAGTGAATTCCTCTTATAGTCCACTCTTGGCTCTCTGATTTACTGCTTCACAAAATGGATTATGATCATCATCATAGGGTCGGTTTCTTTAGTTTGTCTTTAAAAAACAATTTGGATAAATATAGGAGCTTGAAGGGGTACAGTATTTTGTGATTGGAAACTTGGGTTTGTGGATGCCACGATTCTCAGATTTCAGTCCTAAAGGCCCCCCCACTCACCATTTTTACCTGTTTTCCATAGTTTCAGGGGGCAAGATAAAGTAACATCAGAAGCTTGCTCTCTTGATGCCATCCTACCTAGAAGCTTCAACTATTACAAACATTTCTCTGATTATAATACAACATACTCACTAAAGAGATTTGTAAGTAGAGGAGTAGATTAGGAAAATATTTCATAGTCTCAGTACCCAAAGACTTTAACCTGGACTCCAGACATATATCCAGCTGCCCAGTGGACATTTCCCCTTAGATATCAAAAAGGTATGTCTAACTTAACATCTCCACTTTCCAGCTACACCCCATCCTACACAAACGTATGATAGCTGAATAGAAAAACAGGGTTCCTGCCAGTATTTTAATGAAGGTATAAAAATGCTGTATTAAATAGTAATTTTAGCAATTGTTCTCATTGGTACATTTTACAAACCCCCTTTTTATCAGAGTAATGTTACTATGTGTTTACTCAAAAAGTTTCCACATCAGTGCAGGTTCACCTGTTAATAGGTAGATTAATCCACATAACACCCCCCAATCATGAAATATAGTTACTTTGTATCCATGATAGCAAGTGAAAAGTAGAGACACTGTGAAAAGTTGACTTACTGTTTTTCCTGCCAACATCTTTTGATTTATTTCCCCATAATGTGAACCAGATAGAGGAATACATATATGGGGACAGTAATGTTTAGACAGACACGTCAGTTCTTCAAAAACCAGCACCTTAGTTTTACTAACTATACGTAAAAACACACCTGAAGTTTTCCTAATCTTGTCTGCTAGCTCACATGATGGCATAATTTTTTTCACAGTCAAATGATTCAGTCTTCTAAATTATCAAAAATCCAATATCGATAATTCTGATTAGCTTATTTATTTTTAAGGTTTTTGCAAAAACATTCCTAGGTGTTCCTTGATTCTGATCACAATAGGTTACATTGTACATAGAAATCTCCAAGTGTCTCCAAAGTGGTAATGAGAAAAGATTCTTAAAATATATATGTATACATGTATATGTATGTGTCTATGTACGTACATACATATGTACGTACATAGACACATAAATACATAAACTTTGAGAGAAAGAGTTAACTATTTTAACCAAGTATCTAAAATGTCATCAAGACTAGTTAGGAATTAAAATTATGGCTTGTGCACTGCAACATGTTCATGTGAAAGTCGATTTCTCTCTTTGAAAACTGAATCCAGTTGAAACTATCTGGAAACCCTTTTCCATGTGTAATCTCATTCCCATTTTAACAGACTTGTATATTACCTGGTGCAGTCATGCCTCTGAATTTTGAAACGTCTTTCCTCAGCATGAGGTTCTCATCTTAGAATTTTTACAGCTGGGTGGGCTTGAATTATAGCATTATTCATACTTGGAAAGAAATGCCAAAGCTACTTTCCTGTATGGCTCAGGCAGTTGTTGCTGAAAGTAGGGAGAAATCTTTTTAATACGTATGTCCCAAATAAATAGTATTTAATTTGAAATTGGTACGAGGTGCAGAATCATTTTTAGTTGTCTTGACTGAAATGCATCAATGAAAGACATGAGATAAATACCAAGTACCCCACATTCATCTCACTAAAGGTACTAAGGCTACCATGTTTAGAGTCAGGTACTAGTGAGAGTTTGTCCTTTTATGGAAGTGATTTCTCCTGGTCTTGGAGGTGACTGCTTTCCAGGTGCTGTTCTGGGTTTTTGCTGTGCCAGACAGCCAGATAGATGCCAGTGGACTCTGGAAACCTCACAAAGGGGAAAAACTGGATTTGGCCTCTTTAGGGTTATTAGGTAGGGCCAGCATATAACTTTAGCAGTTGCAGGAGATTTCCAGGAAGTGGTAAGATCTCTTAATGTTTTCCTATCTTTAAACATGTCAAGGGCTCTTTCAAATTGGGTTTAAAAACACTACAGAAAATTTCTTGATAAGAAAAAAAGGGCAGGAAAGGCACAACAAATACATTTTCTGCTTTTTTCATTTTATGAAGTTAAACTTGGCTGCCTATTTACAATTTCTTGGCACTTCACCACTCTTCCCAGTGTGGCTTTAGCCTAATAGTGTGGCTGAAGTTGAGTTAGTAGTCTCACGTTCTTGTTCTTCTCACCTCATAGCCATTTATTTGATAGTGCTGACCTCCTTTGCCTCTGCAAAATTTCTGCCATTAGGTCTGGTAATTATTGGTCTCATGGTGCCTTGACCTTTCTGCTTAGCACTCTCTTACTTCCCAGATCCCTGGCTTTGCTTTTGGTTTTCATCTGTGGATGTAATAACAATGGCTATCATTTATTGCATGTTTTTACTGCCAGCCACTGTGCTATATAACTTAAAAGTACATGTCATTTTATCCTTAGACAATTTGAACTGTTCTGATCGCCATTATACAGATAGAGTAACTGGGGCATAATCTTTGATCCATTTATTCACAAAGGAGAAAAAAAGAATTTTAAGAACTTTGTAGTTATAGAGATCTTTCTCTTCTAAAATAATTTTTTTCTCATGGTCAATTTTCATGAAAGGCCTTTAGAGTTTATATTTATAGAATATATATATATATATATATATATATAAACTTTCTAGGTTCAGGTATTTCAAAAAGGGCTTGTAAAAATAAAGTTTAATTTAAACTTTAAATTATACTTAACACAGCTAAACACAGCACACGGTTATATTAGTGTTTTTCTCCAACTTTATTTTTAAAATTAATTCATTTTAGCAATCCAGAGTTACTTTTGTTACTTAAAAACTACTTATGGGAGACACACATTTCCAAAGCCTCAGGTGAGATTTCATTAGCTAGAACTCAGAAAGAGCAAAACCTAAAGACTTCATGGAAAACATAGGAAACATTTTACAAATGGAATATGGGACATTATAAGATTCTGCTTCAACACAGGTGCTTCCTTTGCCTCTTGTACCTTTCACAGAGAGTAAATGTTTTTAACTTCTTTACTGCAAGGCTGCGTAATTTCAAGTGAATGGCCCTTATTGAATAGCGATGGCTAGAGAAGGGAACCTGATTTTGTAGTCTATTCAGCGGGCCCCTATGTTTAAAAAACTTAGTGAAAAAGGAAGATGATTGATATAATTCAACTGACTTTAAACTCTGTAGCCCATACACTCTTCAGTTTAGTGCCTGTCAAACCAGTTATTTGTCAGAGTAGAAGTGGGAATGAATAGCTTTCCATGCAAGGTTAATGGCTTAAAAAAGCAGTGATGAACCAGGAAATAGGACACTTATTTTGGTATAATTTCCATATTGACCCCCAACTCCAGGAATCAAGGAAAAGAGATTTTTGATATAACAAGGTCTTAATGTGCTTATAGTCCACATTAGATCCTCTATTTGCTGGAAAAATACATAGCTTCTCAAAAAATAGATGCACGCGACTGCTCTGTTCTTGATTTTTCTGAGAATAACCATTTCTTTAGAGATATTAAAAACATCCTTACTAAGGAGCCCCATGCACTCTGTCTTAAACAATTCCTTATTTCAAGAACTTTTATTTGAAACAAGTCAGTCTTTAGGGTTGAAAACTTTAGGAGCAAATGAGATTGTATTTTTGCTTTTTGTAAGTGGCCAGAGCCAGTCAACACTTGGGTGCTGTGTGTGTAACTGGCTGATGCTGGGCTTACTCCTTCTCTAAGAGTGTGGTACTACGAAGAAAGTGGAGAAATTTATTTACCAGATTTTAGGAACTGAACATAGGCCTGTTCAAAATAGCAGCTTAAAACCATACTTAGGGTCATTACTACCAGTGAGTAGAGAAGAAAGGAAGAACACACAGTGCAATATACAGATGATGTATTAATTGAATTGAACACTTGAAACTTCTATTTCTTAACCAATGTCACCCTAATAAATTTAATTAAAAAAATCTGTAGGAATACAAATGAGGTTCAGAAATATACTTTCAGATCTTGCCCAAATGTATTCATTCCACTTGTTATTTTCAAGTTCTTTATTTGGAACTGGCCAGCACTTTTCACAATTCTGTTGGTATTTGTAATTTTAGCTGCCTCTAGTGTGTTCCAGAGCAGTTTCTTTCAAAGTCTTTTGACTGCAATCCATAGTAAGAATTCCATTTTGCACAACCATCTAATATATGATATGCATATCTGATATTTTCCATTTAATATGCTGGTTATGACTCATTAATTTCATATCCCATTAATAGGTCAAAACCTGCAGTATAAGAAGTGGCCTAAATTCTGGTATTACTACATATATCTCTAATATTTTAATTTCTTGTTGTTTCCTTCTCTGATCTAGCAGCTCAGGATGCTGTTTCTCATTTTGTTGGGGCCATTAGAGTTTTAATTTCTGCTTTAAAACTTGGAATATAACTAAAGTGCTCATCAACCCTGCCATGGTCTCATTTACTAAGTACCTAAAGATAAATAGTTTTCTGTCTGGCATCCTAACTGCCATCTTCCAAGGCCCAGACCTTTCATAATAGAGAATGAAGAGGAAACAGTTGTAAAAAAATTTTTTTGGAAATGATAACCCAGCTTCTGCTTATAGGAAATAATTGAGGTATGAAAACATGGCTGGCTGATTTGCTGCAATTTAAAGGTTATAGACTATTATAAGTAACTTACTGCAATGGAACATGAGAAGTACAAGTATGCTTTCAAGTGTGTGTAAGGAATACCGAAGTTTCTTAAATCAGGGTGTATTTATTAAAAGCAGAATACAAAATATCTTTGAATTCAAAGATTACCTACTGCAGTGTTTAACCCCTAACAGGTTAGTTCCAAAGAAAAAAGTTAATCATTTTAAGGGAGGTAACAAAAATTTTAAGGAAGAATTATACATCTGGTTGTAGACTGAGTTTATTCAAGCTCTGAGGCCTCAGTATGTTCCTCCATGTTTTCAACCATTAATAGCCCAAACCGATTGCTTAACTCATACCAACATCTAGCATCTGAGAGGGTTCCCACTCTGTTCTTTGACCGGCTGGAACCTTGTTTCTTTTGCCTTCTTTTTTTGGAATTTGATTTACTCTTTGATAGGAATAATTCAGCAGGGGCACAGGACTTCGTGGCACTAAACAGATGCTCATAAAGTTGCTTTGCCTCAGGACACATGCTCAGGAGACTTTCTACAGAGGTTGATGTTAGAAGGTGTCGGCATAGTCCATGCATCAGGCTTCCACTATACAGACTGTTCAGTGGGAGAGAGAAGGGTGGTGGTAAAGCATAGGTTCAGTGAACTGGGACAACCACCATTAACATGGCTTCAACAAATGTATCTAAACATTGAGAGTTCTATTTATTAAAATTACTGAAGAATAATCTGTTCCTTGAAGGAAGGAACTGAGCTGTTATTACAAAGATTACTTCTTGGCTGGCGATATTTTTTCAGCAAATTAAATGATGGATGACTGCTGGTTCTGTAACTAGCCCAAAGTTGAGCAGGCCTCTTAACACTTCAAAAGAAAAGGAATTAAAAAAAGCCTTTGATAAACCAAACAGGCAGTCTGTTGAAATATGAGAGTATTTAACGGCATCATTTGCAAGGTCATTCATTCACTTGAACTAAAAACCTACTTCAGAAATAAAAGATAAGTGTAATGGGAAGCCATGATTTTAATATATAACTAACTGCCAGAGTTGATTAACTGGTGACTTAGCAACTGATGTAGAACCATCATTTAATCAGTGTAAAATCATCACTTATAAAACCTTGGGAATGCTGAGATGCAATAACAATCCTACTGAAATCACCATTAAGAAAACTATTTGGACTTGTTTTTCCTGTTTTTTTTTTTTTTTTTAAGAGATTTCTGGTAACTAGAGAGGATCCAGTCAAGAATGGCCTAAATTATTAAAAGCAAGAAATAAAGAATCCGTAGGCCAAAGGCCAATTAATCTTATTTGGTAGAAAGTTCTAGGGTTAGCTCACATTTAAGGCCTAGAGATGTATTAACACTATTATCCTAGGAAGTTTTTCACCTTGAAACACACCAGGATATTTTGTATGCCTCCATATATCATTCATTTATTCAACAAGTATTTGAGCACTGGGTCTACAATAGTACATTAAATAGACAGGTCCCTGCCCTCATAGAGTTCATATTCAAGTGGGAAGAGACAAAGTATATATACAATTTCAATTTTACTTCCTAACTAGTTTCCTTTTATCTTCCTCCCTCTAATACCTCCTGGATGGACAATCACCAGGATGTCCAATGCTTTGATCCTACCACTTTCTCACTGGCCTACACCCGACTGCTTTCATTTCTTTCTTAACCACCTTAAACTCCATAATCAAACATTGTAATCACTAACTGGCATACAGCCTGCCTCTCCCTTCTTCATACTGGCCTGACAAAACAAAAATCCTACATAAAGTTCACTTAAGCATCTAATAGTCATCTTACTAGAATAAAAGCTCCATGACAGCAGAAATTTTTTTTTAAATTTTTTTTTCACTTCACTGTTGCAGAGTAGGCATTTAATAAATACTTGAAAGAATAAGTGAACAGTATGCCAAGTAGTAAGAAATGCAATTACAGAAATACAAAAGGGTAATAGGACTAGAGTGCCTGGAAGTGGAGGGTAATTTTATCTAATCATAGAAACTTTCTTTGGGAGTATGGCAATAACTTAATATTCTTCCTGTTTCAGTTCTTTAGCTGCAAGACCAATTATCTTCAGATGAATTTTTAAAAATAACTTGCTTTAAATGTAAATAAAAGTATTTACTTCTGTATGCAGCCATCTGAACTAGTTTTCCGTGGTGCTTACCGAGTTAGGTCTGGCTCTGGGAGAGGAGAGGACAGCAGCTGATTGAGATACATCCCCATCTGCAGACAGCACTGCCACTGACAGAAGATGTGAGCCGTGTCTAAATCCAGTCTTGCGCCCGGCCGCGTCTGCTCCTTCATTCTTTGGAACTCTGCATACAGCATCTTAGCACCATCTTTCCGCATACCTTCCGTATCTAGATAAAGAAACAACCCAAGGGCAGTATTTCCAATTATACTGTATCAGCTTTTAATTTTCTTTATATCTAAAACTTCAAATTCCATAAAGAAAATAATTAGTTTAAATAACCAAAATGCTTTTCTTTTCTGGCTCCTTACTATTTTAATGTCGTTGTAAAGTCTTGCTGTATAAACTGAAATATTATACTGAAATGCCTTTTTAATGACAACCTAACTATTCAACCCCAAGTTATTTTTTACCCGTAAAATAGTATCTCTTCCACTGATCTAAACACATTTGCATCAAACTGCTCAAACCCTAAATCTGTCTCTGAAAAATACGAATTACTATCAATATCATTCTTTTTTCTTCCACCAAACTTCCTTTCATTGAGACCCCCATGTTACAGTGCACTTAAAGAAACAGCCTGTATGTTCAAAGCACATTTTAACTATTGTTTTATGGAAGGAAAACTAAAGTATGACTCCTAGAGAATGTGGCAAATCATCAACTTCTTCACATAGAGGATAAGGGGCAAGCAACAGCCTTGGGAAATGAATGCTGAGTGTGTTCAGCTATAAGCTTCTGCAGGTTTGTTTGAGCAGGGGTGCATAAAATGACATCCAGACCAACTTGAAAGTGATAAAAAGGAGGCCCACCTTTTATCAATTAGCGAGCAGCAAGGCACTGAGCCTGCCTGGGTGCTGGGTCCACAATTCCTAAAAGAAAAGAAACAGACCCTTGACATGCCCCTTCTGTTGGACTCAGGTAAAAACGTAATAGGCTTGTGCTTTGAGAATTTTCTTAAACTATATTTATTATTCGGTAGGAGGAAATACCCTAAACTTGTATCTTAAGCAGTAATGAGCTTTAACTTATTTTGCATTAAGTTGGCTGTCATATAACATCGGTCCCTTCTGACAGCTACTCACTCTGACACCTAGGGTGTCTCGGAGTCATACTTGTTCATTCTTTCATTTAACTTTTTTAAAAGTAAACTCCAGAGTAGAACTTTATTCAGTGATGGAAATGTTTTGTATCTGCACTTGTTTTCTAGCCATAGGTGGCTACTGAGCACTTGAAATGTGGCTAGTAGCTACATGTTAGTACTTTTCTTGAGTGTGTTAACTATTAGACATATATACTTAAAGTGTTATGGTATTGATAATCTTTCAAAGAGAATAATTCATTAGAGAATTGAAGTGCTCCAGTGCATCAATATTTATTTCATCTGATATTTAAATGCAGATGAAATTGCCTCAGTGTATTTCTCCAATAGAGAAGTTACTATTTCTACCATCACGACTTATGTACTAATTGGAACTTACAGTAAAGGAAAAGGAAAGTAAAAAATCAGCACAAGCATGCATGTTTATTGTGGTTGCAGGTATTTGAAATTTCACCAGTGGGAAATTTTAAATGTTTCTAGTGATGATGCTGCTGTATTGACAGGGATAAAATATGTGGACTGTAAAATGCAACTGGGATATCACACAGTCACACTTCATAATGGGCTAAAGCTTTAGTTAGGTGCCATAGAGCAGGTGTCATTAGGCTTTATTAGTACATTTTCACTGTTGTGCCCTTGAAGTCAAACTCTCCAGCACTGAGCTTGGCACATGGAAGTGCTCAAAAATATTTACCAATGAATGAGATATTGGTGCCTCTGTTTCTAAGTTCTGATATAACTGATAGGAGTAGATAATCCAAGAATGCTTTTTGTTTAAACTTTCAATTATATGTAAGTAACATGCAAAATTTCTGATATAACTGAGTAAATAATCCAAGAATCTTATAAAACTGATAGGAGTAGATAATCCAAGAATGTTTTTTTGTTTAAACTTTTGATTACATGTAAGTAACATGCAAAAATATACTGGAATTTCCATATACTTACCAGGGCTGTTGATTATGGCATGCAATGGCCCCATCAGCATCCCCAGCAGTAAGGCTTGTAGATGATGTAGCTTTGCCTTGGCCCCTGTGTGCTGCAACCAGTAGCAACTGACAGCAATGGGCAATTTCAACAGAGTAGGGACTGGGTCCAGGATGGTCTGTTTCACCTTCAGCGTTTCTAGCAGAAGTAATTGCCGACTAGCCAAGGAGAGCTGAAAATACACACCAAACATCGTCCAAGTTACTTTGAAGAATGACTTTTTCCCCCCTAGTATGAAGAGACTTTAATGAAAATGAAACTGCTGTGTCAGTTTATCTTCCTGGGGGGTGGGGAGGGGCGGAGGGTGGGAACAAGCCACATTCAAAGCATTCAGAACATTAATGAGGTGCTTAGTAAATAAGATTGACTAAATAAATGTATCTCTACTCCTGCTACACAGCCCTTGCTCTTGTCATTCCGTCTTCTATGTAGGTTGATGAGCATCTTCAGTGCCCATGTCACGGAGATTGTTAAAAATCCAACTCTCAGCATCCTCCTACCCGCCCCCCCCGCCCCCCCCACCCAATTGGATTCAGTAAATTCTAGGGGTGCCCAGGAATCTGCATTTTAACTTCTGCTTTGAGAAAAATCTATACTTAACCATACCCTTACTTGCTAGTAAATATTTAGGTCCTACCTTCTCCATGATGCTATTATGATCACCTCCAGGAGAAACTTAGATTACATGAACCTTTGAGGTGTTATCATATAGCCTTCTATTTGTTTGGGTCCTGTCTCATGTCCCTACCCAGTTGAATGTTTTATTGTCTTTATGTTCTCCCACACAGGGAGATTGTCTCAGCATGGCTACTTGTAGATGAGGTATATTCAAAGCAGATAGGCATATTTAAGGACTACCTGCATTGTACTTGCAATAACACAACACATGCACTTATTTTTAGAGAGTGCACTTCAAATACAAGGAAGTAAACAGCTATGAGGGCTTTGGGTTCCTTGTTGAACTAATTTTACATTAACGAATCTTAAGAACCATAATGGATCTTACAGGTTATATACTTTTACAAATAGGGAAATTAGGACTATTAAAAGGGCACCTTCAGGGAGACTTTACAATCAAACTTTAAGAGAAAACAATAGTTATATTCCTAGTATATGCACACAGCCAGAAAAGGATTTCTTTATTATTTGAAAGGATGAGACAGTCTGACACATTTCTCAGCACCAAACACCTAGTTTGCAGTAAGTGTGTTGACAGCTGAGAATAAGATGTTAACCTGAAGTAAAAACACTTCATAACTGACAGAACAGTTTCATCATTAGTGCATGAGAACATTAAATACAATGATTTATAAGAACTGGTTTTAATAATACTGTGGTAAAAATTTTAAAATTAGCACTCAAAAGTGCTTTACAGTATAATCAATTACCCCTACAGGGAAGTAGCATTAACTACTTAAAGTAACTACTTTTTATCATCTAAACTGGTTGAAAATCGCACCAAGTAAAGGCTTAAAAAATTCATGAATTCTTTACTACATATAATTCTTAAATTATTGAATTCTCTAGGCAAGTTACAACTTATGAACAAAGCAGAGTCTGAGTTTGACTTCAGAGACATTTTGTCCCTCATTAACTACAGCCTTGGTCAAGTTTCTGAGCTTTTCTAGTCTAATCATCTGTGAAATTGGCATTATAAGGTGTTACACAAAATGTTTGATGGAACCCCCTAGTCCTTAGCCTCTTCCAAAAGGGAAACAAACTACTCATAGCCCTTAAATCTGGTTAGGTTTTATCCCATGTGACAACTCCTTTCCCTTCCCTTCAGGGAGAGGGAAAGCATAAACCTTCAAAAGAAGCTGCCACACAGAGGCAGAAGTCCCCAAAAAGAGAATGGTCTTGGCGCTGCCTCCCCAAGAATGATCTACTTCTATCTCTCCTTAGGATTAACCTCTTGCTGGTTAACTTGAGTGGTGCTCTGTCCACGGCCATTAAAATCCAAAATGGAAAGCCTAACCTATGAGGTCACTATAGGAATGAAATGAGAGATTGTATAACATTTCTATTACAACAGCTGGCACAAAGCAGACAAAGTATTATTCACATCGTGTTAAAAACAAAATGAATAGATACTAACTATCACAAACTTTCTATACTTGTACCTACATTTGTCTCTGGAATCACATTTGTACCTGATACTGTTCTAGAATTATGGGCTAATTACAGCTAACCACATTGAGCTAAATACAGAATTGATTAGCTTATGCCAAGAGAAAACCAAATGATGATCACTGTGCAGAAGGTGAACTAAAATTTCACCCTACTCTGAATACAAGTAAGTGATGAGAACACTTGTCATTTCTACTTAGCAAGGAGTATAATCAGCATGCTACACTCATTGACTCAACTGGATTTTCATATGGAGGGAAAAAATGCCCTGATCCCTATGTCATGCTATGTAGAAACAATTCCAGATAGATTGTAGATCTAAATGTGAAAAGCAAAACAAAAACAAAAACAACTTGTTTATCAAAACATATTAGAGTGAAAAGACAATCCACAGATTGAGAGAGGCAATTGACAATACATGTTATCTGACAAAAGACATATATGAAAAAAACAACAGGAAAATGGGCAAAACACTTTGAACAGAAACTTACTTACATAAGAGAAAATCCGAATGGCCAATGAACACTTGAAAAGGTGCTCAAATAAATCATCAGAGAAAAGCAAATTAATACTCACTAAATAGGCTAAAATGATGCCACTACACAACCATCAGAATAGCGAAAGTTTTTTAAGACTAGAAGATACCAAGTATCAGCAAGGGTGTAAAGCAAGAGGAACTCTCATAAGCCGCTGGTAGGAATATTTATTGGTAAAACCACTTTACAAGACCATTTGGCATACATTGTCTAAGCTGAACATATGTGTATTCTATGACCCAGCAATTCTACTCCGAGTTATATAGCAAATTCATATTTTCACTAAATGAGGTGCACTAGAATGTTCATAACATTGTAATAGTCCGAACTGTGAACTCCTATTACCATCATCTATAAAATGGAAAAATGTGCTTGTCCTACAGTGTAATAATATACAGCAACACGGAATGATCTGCAACTACTCAGTGATATAAATGAATCTCACAAACATCAAGTTGAATAAAATAAATCAGATGAAAAGAATTCATATTGTATGATCCCATTTTTATAAAGTATAAAAACAAAACTATTCAATGTTAGAGGTTGGAATAGTGATTACAGGGGCTGGGTGAGGGGGTGGGTGTTACTGGAACCAGACACTAGGGAAAGCTACTGGGGTGCTGATAATGAGTCTTCATCTGGGTGCCCTTTACATGGAAGTGTTGAGTTGGTGGAAAATTCATCAAGTTGTTTAATTATCTGTGCACTTTGCTATATGTACATATGCAGGGAGGGATGAATTGCAAAGAGGCAAGAAGAAACCTTTAGGGGTGATGGAAACATTAATTGCAGGATGAATTCACGAATGTAAACAGATTGAAACTCAAAAGTGCACACTTTAAATATGGCCACTTCATTGTACATCAATTATTTCTCAAGCCATAAAAAAAGTTCTAAAAACCCCTCCAACACGGCACCGTTTTGTTGTGAGTAGAAATGTAATTTCGGCAAAAACATCACCCTTTAGAATGTTGTTAATTTCAATTTTTATTAGTGTGGGTAAAGTTTTAATCCTTCTGTTTGGAATTGTTCCTATGCTCAACTTTCTAGTTCTATTACCCTTGAAACATGATAAAAGTTAGTCAGCTGTGTTACTTAACATAATAAAAATGACTCTTGTAAAACTGCATCTAAACCTGAACTATAAATGAACTTGAATTATAAAACAACCAGATGGAGACACCATATCCTGAGGCTTCCCTAAGTGCAGTGACTTGTAATTAGGCATGTCCCTTGCAGCAACTTTGGAAGCTATGTCTATGGAACTGTTACGAGAGAGACTGGATCCAGTAGGGAAGGAGGCCAGTGAGACTTTTCTTTCCTTGAGATATAATTCACATGCCATAAGATTCATCCTTTTAAAGTGGTTTTAGTATATTTATGAGCTGTGCAACCATCACTAATTCCAGTACATTTTTCACTACCCAAAAGGAACCCTGTTCCCATTAGCAATCATTCCCCATTACCAAGGAAGCTTTTGTACCTGCCTGATGTGAATCCTGTTTCCTCCTGCCTGAGCTGTCACTAATGGAAAGGCTAAAGAGGCTAGTTCCTGAGGTCAGCTGTATAGACCAGGAACTGGCACTACTGACATTCTGGGCTGGATCATTCTTTGTTGTAGAGAACTGTCCTGTGCATTGTAAGATATTTATTTAGCAGCATCCTTGACCTCTCCCCACTAGATGGCAGTAGCAACTCCCAGCCTCCCCCTGCCCAACACCGACCCCATCCCAACCTCTAGGTAGTGACAGTCAAAAGTGTTTCCAGACAGTGCCAAATTCCCCCCTTGGGAGATGTGAAATCACCTTCAGTGGAGAATCAATGGAGTAGACTGCTGCAATGTCTCCCAGATTAAAGGCAAGCCTGATTCTAACTGGTGGAAAGCTACGGCTGCTGTCCTCCCTCGAGTAGACTGGCACCAAGAGTGGCCTATGAGAGTCTCTGAGTCTGAAGAGTTGGATTTAAGAAAACTCCCAAAGGGCATTTCAATTGGTATTGTAAGTTTATCTGCATTTAATTTGTAAATTTAGTTATATTAGCATAAGCAGTTTCATATCAATTTGTAATTTAATACAAAAAAACAGTAAACACTGGGATCCATGATAATTTTTTTTACCTTGAAAAGGGAATTGGTTTGAGTGTTACTCAGGTTTAAACAACACTGACTTAGGCTAAGAATCATGTTTTCAGTACCAAACCAAGCAAATCGTCACGACACCATAAATTAAAAGCCTTTTAAAAAGGTCCTAGTCAATAAAAATGAAAAAATTAGACCCAAGCATCAGTATTAATCTTGTTAATTGAAATTTGATGCAGTCTGAGTACTTAAGAATGTTATGCCTATGATCAATGCCTTTGGGCACACTTTTTTTTGGTAGCTCAAATTTCTTATCTTCAGCCACATAACCCCATGCTGTTGATAGCTGGGATCAACACAGTAGCAGTAATAACTACAGAGGTAACACAGACTACTGAAGTACAGTGGAAATGGCAGATATAGAGCTAAAAGATCTAGGTGAGAGCCCTAGCATTGATACTCCCTAGCTGAGGTATCACATAGTTACCTAGTTTTCTCAGCTATGAAACTGGGGCAATATGGCTGCCAACCTCAGTTTATTATATTGAGAGATAATATACATGAAAACACTGTGTAACTTGTAAAGTGATTTACAAAAACTACATTAGTATTACAAACTTACCTCAGTCAACTTGCTTAAGTTGAAAGGATCCTTGGGCAGTTCTACTGCCTCGACAATTGATGTTTTGATATTTTTATTAATCCTTTCCACTTCGCTGAAAGCTAGAGGCTGAGCAGACAATGCACTCCAGGACATGTTTTCCAGATGTGGAGAAACATTCAAAAGAAGCCCATAGATGATTTGCCGGATGGGCAAAGCTATTCTGTGAGCATTTGGCTGCTGCATGTTTTCCACTTGTGTGTGAAGAAATGTCCGTCTAAGCACCAAAGCATCACTGATGAAAGGAGAGAGCTGGCCTTTGGCCAAAGCCACTAGGATCCATTCCGGTAAACCCAGATTCAAGGCATCCAGACAGACATAAGTACCACACTGGAAGAAATCCTGCAGCTTCACCTGGGACTGCTGGTATTCTTCCATGGAACAGCAGAGAAGTTCCTTAATATTTTCTCGATCCTTTTGGGGAAGATATTTCAGAACATTATTTAGTGCTTCAGTGGGGTCAGCAAAATGAGACAACCAATTCAGAAGTCCCAGAACTCGGTGGTGTCTCCTTCCCTTAGAACTGGCAGCTCCAAAAGACAGACGTACTTTACTTAAGAATGTCTCCATGATGGGCAGGTTAATATGGTCATTTCCGCATAGTACCGCAAAGAGAGGTAGTAGAGCTTTATTCATATTGCTGAAGTAACGGCAGAGTGCATCAAGGGAAAAGCATTTGGTAGGGATATAGTAGTCTTTTGTGCCCTTAATAGTGTTCATGTTTCTCCACTGAAAGCTATTCAGTGGGCAAAACCCAGTTTTTAGGTCAAAAATGCAAAAGTCACTATCCGACGATAACACGGGGCAATTCCAATGATTAGCCAGTGTCATAATGTCCCGATCTGCTTCTGAAAAGCACTGAACAAAACGTACCCGCAGCTTGATCAAAACCTGTATGAACACTTCCCGGATGAGTAAGGGACACACATACCCACCACCACCAACAGAAAGAGAATGCGCCATCTGGATCTTCTCCCTAGCTCGATCCTTTAAAGTTGTAAGCTTTTTATCTGAAATGTCACATCCACCATCTAATACGACATATGGACATATGTTACAAGAAAACAGTGATTCAAAGAATTTTTGTACAACATCTGCAAAGGAATCATAGTCCCCTCCATACCGAAGCTCCAAGTTTGAGTTGAAGCAGAGCCGGTGGAAAAGAGCATAGCCATCAATGATAATTCTTGTGTCTCGCAACTTCAAATCAGTGAAGAATTCATTACTATGATCTTCCACAAAACTCATTAGTCCTCGGATACCCATGATGACTGTCTGAAGAACTGCCTGTTTAAAATAGAACACACTTGAATATAGGGGACCAAGTCACTGTCTGGGGCACCATTAAATCAATAGCAAATGTTAAGAAGAGCTCTTTACAACATATTAGGGGTCAGTGTCTCAATTCTTACCTAGATCCTTAGGCAATGCCAATTAGCTGAGTGCTTTTTCATTCTCTCCTGCTTTCTCTGTGTGTTACAGGATATAGTTCAATGGTTTCATGGAGTTGGACCTTTGGATACAAATGAAGGCTGCTGATAATTCTAAAGGAAAATCAGTTTAAGTCCATTACTGACACAATAGTACAGAACTTCCGTTGACTTTGAAATTTAAAGTTAATATTCGCCATCTTATAACAGAATATTTATTTTGTGGAGTCAAAGTAAAAAGTCCTAAGCCATAAAAATTATATCCTCAATCTCATAATTAATAAATCAGAAAGCATTGGGCTTCAGTTAACTAAAGTGTGTAGGGCAAATGATATGGATCTAGTTTTTCTTTTTTGACAATCAGAGTCTGGGAACTTCTTTCAGGCCTTAGCTTGTGGGCCCATCTTAATTGGCATAATTCTAAGTAAGGAAAGGTTTCATGCCTCGAAGACCTAACTCTCTAACCTCAGAGGCCCTTCTCATCTTGTCTTTGCGTATCTTGCCCAGTTACCGACAATATCCTTCAATATCTGGCTACCTTAAGTCACAGGATCAGTATTACTAGTTTTTCCTTTGGTCTCAGACTCCAATATGGCTCAGCATGGTACTGTCACAAAATCGTGAGATTATGTCAAGCATGGATTTTGTTTTTTGTTTTTGCATTCATTCCGATTTTTAAGGATACTGCATTAAAATTTATCTTGATTACAGAATTTTTGGGCAACCTTTTGCATTTTGCGCCTAGTCTTGGCCGTATCTCAGCACCTTATCCTGTACAGTACTTATTTCTTTAGAAGTCTGTCTTGTAAAGTTATGCCAGCAGAGACCGTGACAACTTATCCTAAATTACAGGACCTTGCATAGAGTAGTTTTTCAACAGATAGCGTGCTGGAGAGTTGGCAGGCGCACAAAAGGTTTGATACAAGTCCTCCAACACAGGCCGTCGTACGCCGCGACACCCTGGGAACTCACAATCCACCACCCGGACGAAGAACAGAGCCCACCTACTCTGTCCTCCCAGGAGCCAAGCGAGTACTGGAAGCCGGAAGCCCCGGCACCTGCGAGTCCAACCCCAAGAGTGGGAACCGGAAGTCTTCGGGTATGACGTCACTGAGAAGCCCGGTTCAGTGAAGCCAGTATCGGCAGAGTACTCAGGGGCGCAAGCGGTCCGGCGCGAGGTCTCTAAGGCTGGGACGGCTGGGAAATACGCTCCAAAATGGCTGCTGTCAGCTTACGGATGCTAGGCCCGCTCGGCCTGCTCTCTTTTTCCCCGCCCACTTGAGTCCAGGCACGCTTCCGCCCCCAGTGACAGGCTCTGGGCCGCCGCGCCAGAATTCCCAGCATGCCCCGCGTTGTTTCCCTGGCAACATTGCCCAACAGCCGTGGCCGGGGTGGTCCTGGAACTCGGAGGGTCCTGGAGGCCTGCCCACCGTACGTCCCGCTTACGGGCCGGACTCTGGGCATACCCTGGCGCCGCCGCTCCTCCGCCCTCCACCTCGAAAGGTATGCGAAAGGCGCATCTCCCGGCGCGTGGGCTTCCCCGCACCGGGGAAGGCAATGGTTTCAGGCTGCCCCGGTCGGGGTCCACACTTCTCTACTTGCACTTCAACGACCTCCTCCCTTACCTAGACTCCTTACTTTCCGGATCTGCTCCAGTCTCCGGAGAATAAGTGTTGTTAGTGCCCCCTCGATATATATTTACCCGCTTTGCGAAAATGCAAATTAAAAAATAAAAGTTGAGGCAAAGAATTGTTCGTTTTACCTTAAGGTTAGGGTTTACCTTTAAGGTTAAATTCCTACTTTAGCAGAATCTGGTGTCAGATCTGCTTCCTCTCATTTATCATTACAGCGGAAGAGAACTACTTGTCTTCAACCTGTGAAAAACACTCCCATGCGTTGCCTTTTGCCCGTAGCCAAATTATCTTTACCTCCAAGGGTCAGTTTGCATAGGGCGTTAATTTTTCACCTTTCTCTCAGTTCCCATCCAACTTTGTAAATCTTCCCTCCCCTCCCCTACCATACACACCTTGTTCCCCTTTGGACAGAAGTTGGTCTGCCAGAAGCTTATCTGCCTTAACAAAGTTTATTGAACACCTACTGTATGCCAGGGACTGAGGATACAAAAATAAAGGTGTGTTCCAGGCGCCCAAGTTCATTCACAACCCTTTGAAGTGGGGCAAGGGTACCTTGACAAGTGCACATATAGGTCTAGAATCTAGACAGTGTGATACATTCCCAAGCAACCAGGTAGCTCTATGGTTGCACAGAGGAGACTAATGGAATCCATGGCCTAAAGGTGGACTGAGAAGGAGGCAGCTCGGCTGAATCCGTGAGGTTGGGCTAGAAGTCTCAGAAGTCCAATTATTCTCTCCTTTGCTAAACAAGGACCTTTATCTCATCTCTGAAATAAGGAGAATTACAGTGATTGAGGGGGTCCTTTTCAGTTGAAAAGACTGTGAGTCCATACATTTTTCTTAGCTTGATTTGGCCAGAAACCATCACATTTTTTTTTCTTTTTTTGCCAGCAGAAAGGAAGCACACAAAAGATACATTTGGAGGCCTGTTCTCCAATTGTTTCTTCAGCAGTAGATTTCACTAATATTTTCTGTGATCTTGATAATCCCACATAATTTTATATTCAGGGATTTTGAGGTACGAGCCTCAGTGCTGAAGATCCAACCCAATGCTCTATTGTTTTACTGTTGTCATGAGCACATATTTGGTTTCTTTCCCTTTCTTGTCTCCATCCCTCCCTCCCTTTCTCTCTCTCTTTTTCTTCCTTCTTTCTTTCTTTCCTTCCTTCCTTCCTTCCTTCCTTCCTTCCTTCCTTCCTTCCTTCCTTCCTTCCTTCCTTCCTTCCTTCCTTCTCTCTCTCTCTCTCTT